AGTGGCCGATCTCCTTGTTCCAATAGCACATCGCGCGGCGCTTCAGCTCCTCGATCTTATGCATGGCCTTCTTCTGGTAGTCACTGTCGCCCTTGCAGCGGCCTCCGCCCTTGGGTGGCGTCACCTCACGGTAGCCCCGAGACGTCTTGCGGTCTCTCGTTACGCGGCGGATGTCCTGCCAGCTGCCACGGCCTCATGGTCCTGCCTGCCATGCCGCCAGCACCGCGTACGCCTCGTCCTCGTCTATGATGTCCTCCTCCGCGAGCTCCCCGTCCTGGTCGGAGCCGCCCTCCAGCAGGTGCAGGGCCTGGGCGATGGGACCTCCTCGTCCTCCTGATGGTCACCCTCGTCCACGTTGAACGCCTTGGCCGTGCGGCTGTGCCCACTGCCGTCGCCCTGGTAATTCCTGGTCGCGTTCTCTTGCGAGCTGTCGTCTCTCAGGCCCTTCAGAGCATTCCGCACGTCCTCATAGGCCAGCGATTCGGTCTTGAGTATCACCGCCGTGCGCTCCACGCGGTCCAGCTTTGCCTGCCTGAGGAGGACGTACCCCTTGACATCGTCTAGCGTGACCTGCAACTTGGCAGGTGTGTAGATGAGGCAAGATGTCGGTGCGAAGCACGGTCTTACACCCCAAACAACAAAAAACAAAAATGGCAGACGAGCTCGATGGAACTCCGCCCTGTCCGATTCTACCGGCACAGGTGGCCGGAGGCTGAGCGTGCAAGTGCGAGCGACTGTAAGGTCGCCGAAATTTCTTTGAGCAACGCCAGCTGCACGCAGAAGGCGACGAGGATCGCGGAGACGAGGGCGTAATGTAGAACACCACGCCACGAAGTCCTGTCCCGTACGACCGGCGCCGAACGGCCACTGTCCGAGAGAAACGCCGACTGCACGCAGACGGCGTCGAGGAGCGAGGAGAAGAGGACATAGAAGTGGAAGAACACGCCTCCCCGGAAGCCATGCCCCGTTCAGCCGGGCAGAATACTCCAACCACCGGACGCCGAACGGTCAATGTCCGAGAGGAGCGCCGGATGGCGCCCCAGATGAAGAACGCGAACTTGAGGAAGATCACGCCTTGTCTCCCAAGCTGGCCGGGGAAGGCGGCCTTCCCAAAACACCTCGTGAAAGGCGGTGTGTGCGCCCCGCCGGCGGAGCCAGGACGGTCCCTGGAGAAAGCCACGCCGCCCTGGACATCCGTCGGGCCAGGAAGAAAAGAGGTAGAGTCCAGCCCAGAGCCGGCTGCTGTCCGTGCGGTCATTGCCGCTGCCATCTAGAAATGGCCCGAGTCTGGCAGGCATACTTTGTGAAAACCTGCAGGTACGTGTTGTTCGTGTAGAAGTACTGTCGAATTCATGTGGTGCTCCCGGCTGGGAGCAGGAAATATTTTGCCAAGACAACCTCTAGCGCTTCAATGCCGAAGCATCGAAGTCCAACCACACGGCGTGACTTGCAACTGGCAGGTGTGGAGGGTGAGGCAAAGCGTCGGTGCGAAGCACAGTCTTACACCCCACCAGAGCACACCTTAGGCCTCACCAGAAATGGCGGCGAGAAAACGATCGCAATGTGGACGAAACCTGTCGAAGGCCTTCTTGGTCTTCCTGGGGTGCTGCTGCAGCGTCTGGCTCTTCTTGCGATCGCCGCCGAAGAAGGTGTGCTCGAACGCCACGCACTTCTCATACACGCTCTTTGGAGGGATCTCGGTCTCCAGGACCCTGATGATCCTCCTCGTCCTTCTCCTCCTCCTCCTACCCCTCCTCCTCCTCCTCGTCCTCCTCCTCGTCCTAGTCCTCCTCCTCGTCCTTCTCCTATTCCTCCTCCTCCTCGTCCTCCTCTTCCTCCTCCTCGTCCTCCTCCTCCTCCTCCTCCTCGCCCTCGAGCTCCTCGAGATCCAGGCCCTCCACGAGGTCGTCGCCTCCATCCAGAATGCTGTGGTAGGCGTGCGCGCCTCGCTGAGAGGCCGGGATGCCTGTCGCCACCCTCGACCAGATCCTCGAGCGGCGCACGTACTTGCGCAGCTCCTCGGTCGTGGAGTCCTTGAGGGTTGGCGGCGGCAGATATCTGCCTCGGTCTCCACCGCGGCCGTCCACTGGCGGCTCCGCGAACTCCCCTTCCACGGCGAGCTCCTCCTCCTCGTCACCCATGGTGTCGACTCTCCACCCTGCTGAGGGCGCCCGTCTGACTCACACAGGTGTTGCTCTCGAGTGATCAGCGCTGCTACTCTCGATGTCGTCCACTGCAAGAAAGGGCTCGGTCTCAGATCACTCTCGTCGTCCGTGAACTCACTCACACTCTTGAAGCGCACTGGCGCTCCGCGTGGAGCTGATGCCAGCTCCGCTACCACCAAATCTAGTGGACCTGCGGGAGAGCGGCAGCTTCTCGGGAAAGGGATCTTTCGATGCCAGCACGAGCACCACGTCTCAGTGCACCAACGGGGCCGAAGCCCCTGCCTGAGCCAAAACAGTTATGGAGGGGTTCGGGCTGGGGGTGTCTGGCATCTCCTGGCAATTCTAGAACAACTCTGGAACGTCCTGCATGTGCACAAAGGCACCTCGATGGCTCCAAAATGACCCCGAAGTACTTCCAAGACGGCCCTTCCAACATACATCCACGAGGCTCTAAGACGGCCCAGAAATTGCTGGTGGAAGCCAGGCAGCACCTTGAGACCCCCTAGACGGGGTGCATTGCATGCGCGGTGTGAATGGTGTGCGTAGCGTTTGCACGTATTGCGCTTGTGGGCTTACGGCGCTGTCGGGTGCCGCCTTGTATTCTCTAAAGTCAGAAGTGCAGTGGTTTACCCCTTCGCCGCCCATCCCAAGAAAACTCCCAGCATATTATGACCAGTACAAAAAAAGGGCCATAGCAATTCAGGATTCGAGGTTTTCTAGGATGTCTAACACGGTCGGTCGAAGAGTGACTCCAAGACGGTCTCGGAGAAGCCGATGAACGTCGAAAGTGTCTCCGGATGGCCAGACCGCCCCAGTGTAATCTCAACATGAATTCTTGGGGCCTGTTGTGTGGAGTGCTCCGAGCTCTGTGGATAGGCTGGAAGTCGTTCGAGCAGGCCGTGGGGCGCGCCAGAAGCTCCAAAAGCCTTCACCGCCCCAGTGGCTGCCGATGTGGGCGAGGAATGCCCCAGAGGCTGCCCAGTGCGCTCAAGACGGGGCCAGGGCGGCCACAAGGGAACTCCAAGACGACCCCCAGCCTATCACAACGAAAGACACTGACGGGACGCTCTAGGTTTTCTTAGTTCCTGCGATTTCCAATCCTTCGTCTGCATTTCTTCGCATTGAAATTGGCACCGGTCGACCTCTGTCAGTAGCACGTCTCTGTTCGGCCCGCGTCCTTGCTACCTTTTTACCTCTTGCTCCTTTCGTGGGTGCACATCTGCATGCAGCTGTGAGCTTGTCAAGGACTGGAGCTCTCAAGAACCTAAGCGCACTTGAAGCGCACGTGGTTCTAGTCTGAATGCGGTGTCGTTTTGTTGTCAGTCGTGCCTTGTTGCGCACCGCGTCAGGTCTTCTTTTTGTAATTGCCACGGTACACATTCGGACACTGTTGACGTTTCGTGCACTCCACCGGCCCACCCCGAAAACAGTTCGCATGTGAGTACTAGTGAAACGGAGGCGGAGGCGCATTAGTCAAAGAATGGGGGGGCACCAGTCAATCAGAAGGAGGGATCAGCCCAACCAAACCCCAAACGTGATTGATTTTTGTTTCTGAGAGACTCTGAGAGACTTCTTGTAGCCATCTTGGGCCTCCCTTAAGGCATTCTCGGCAGCTTTTGGCGCCCTCTTGGTGCGCTCATGGGGACCTTTCGGGAATCTTCCAGGTCCTCGTGAAGCCATCCTGGAGGCTATCAACGCAATCAGGGAGTCAGTGTCGCCCCCTTAGAGCCTGAGTATTGCCTCATGGGGTCCTCGCGGGTCACGCTTGGGATTCTCCTGAGGGCCCGTGGGGCATTTTGTGGCGAGCCCTTTTGGGGGCCATCTTTGGCCATGTTGGAGCTATCTCCTGGCATCCGAGGCCCATCGGAGGCCGAACACTCGAGATCCGAAAAAGAAAAACGCCATAAGCGTAAACTTTCGACGGTCCGCTCGCATTGCTTGGATCTGCGCTGGAGCGCCCCGGCGGCGCCTCCGGCGCCGCCCGTGGCGCGCTTCGCGCGCCAGGGAGGGGGGTCGAGCGCAGATCCACGAAATCCACGCGGAGCGCCAAAAGTTTATGTTTGTAGCGTTTTCCTTTCCTTCTAGGGGTGCCAAATGCTTCGTTATGATAATGTTGACCTCGGGGTTTTCCTCGGCCGTCTCGGACGTTATCCACGCTGCCTGCCCTCCCTCTTCACGGCTGCCGCCGGAAGTCGGCCGAAGAGCTTACGATTTCTAATGCGATCGGTAGGACTTACAGACTTCACGACGTAGTAGCCGAACCTGTCATAGTGCTCTTGAGTCCGCTCCCCCTCCTCCTCTCCAACACTGTGCTGGAACAAACAAAGAACGCTGCCCACCCTCCCTCTTCGTCCTCGTCCTCCTCCCAAGCAAGCTGTTCTTTGATGGCGTCACGAGCCGAGGCTTCGCGCGCGAATTCGCCTATGGAAGATTGGTCCTGTCGTGGCTCCAGTCTGATTGGTGCATCTCTTAGGCACCATCTTGCGTTGGGGAGTGCGATCGTGATGACAAATTGCCCTCTGGAGCCTCGCAGGCCACCTTGAGCCATCTTGGAACTTCGTGGGGCCTCTTATAGTCATGTTGGAAGTCATCTGGGCCTTCTTGGGTCATCATGGGCAATCTGGGAGCAACCTGGGGCAATCTGGGGCCAGTTGACGCCATCTCTGGGACGCTCTAACACCTCGTGGCCTTCTCTGGTCCAGCCCCCTAAGGAGGGGAACCACTGGGGAACACGTAGTTATGCTTGAAGAGCTGCTCCCCTGAAAACTACCTACGCTCAGGGGGCCAGTGGGAAGCTGCACCGCGGTTCCTCCAAGGAAGGGGAAATGTGGGCAGGAAACCGCCCCCACCTTCGAGTCCACCAAGCAGCGCATCATTGAGGAGCGCCAGGGGCGCGGCAAGATGCAGAGGGAGCTTCAGGAGGAGATCAAGACGATTCCCGAAGACGACTCCCGTGCAAACGAGTCCGTCCAGATGGTGCAGAAGATTATCGAGAAGACGTTCCGTGCTATCAGATGCGTAGTTGCCGACCAGATGCAGCTCTATTCTGAGTCTTTCTTCTTGATGCCCATGCTGCGCCGTCTCGAGGGCGTGATGGCTGCCATCGAGCTCGAGGAGGACGACGCGGCTCGGTATAGAATGCGCAAGACCATCCTCGTCGAAGAAAAGAAGAAGTTTACTGGGCTGGAGGCGCTGATCGTACGAAAATTGCCGATTCTCCGAATAACATAAAGGGTGGTTCGCTCCCATCGCCGCCCGCAGTGTACCGCGCTCTACGTGCCGAGGGGCTTCCCTGGGCAAAGTACATGTCAGCGTTAGCCATCTGGATCATAGAAGCCGACGGTCGAACGAAGCTGAGTTGCACCCGTGCGTGCTCCCCAGACAGAGATTGCATCTAGGGGCTCTCAGTTCTTTTCAGAGGAACTCGGTCTGCCCCTCGGTGTGGCGGCTATGTGGTCGCCGTCGCCGCCCCGTCGCCAGCGGGCCTGCGTTTGTTTGTATTGCTTTGCGTTACTCTGCATTGCATTACGTTGGTTTGTATTGCTTTCGTGGACGGCGTTGCATTGCTTGACATTGCTCTTTGCTTTATTGTGTTTTCGTTGCATTGCTTGCCATTGCGTTGCACTGCTTCTCGCTTCTTCTCGCTGCTGTGCATTGCATGCATAGCATTGCTGGGCATTGCTTCGCACAACATAGCACAAAACGGAGGGGAGATGAAGAACAAGGAGGAGGAGAGGGGGATAATGCGATTCGTGGTTTTGTCTTAGTGGCCTTGCGTACCACACCGCTTGCGTACCCCACAGCACGCTTGCGGTGCTGGAAGGATTTCGCAATCGAGTTTCCAAACAAACATACAAACACACAGGGTTTCGCAACACTGATTTGCTAAAAACGTTTCCGCGAAAGCTCTTGCGAAATCTTAAGGGAACCATGGGTTTTTCAAAATTTTCACAAAATGCTATTTTCGGGCTTCGCGCGCGCGCATGTCGAAATCTGCCGAACGCCCTTGCGCGTGTGCCGTCGCGAGAATCCCTTGCCAAAAATGGGACGAAGTGCAGACGCGCGCGTCGTCGCGCGCGTATGCCGAAAACCTTCAAAACCCATCGGTTTCGGAAGGATTTCAAAATTGTGTGTCCAAAAAACCTACAAAAACACAAGGTTTCGCAACACGGATTTTCAACACAAGCGTGCGCGCGCGCGCTCTTGCGTCGTCGTCGTCGTCGTCGCCGTCCTCCCTCCTCCCGCTTCGTCGTCGTCGTCGTCGCCTACGTCGTCCTCTGTCTTTCCTCGTGTTCGTCGTCGTCGTCCTCTTTGGCGTCGTGGTCGTTTCCGTCGTCGTTGTCGCCGTGGTCGTCCTTCCTCCTCCTCCCTCGTCGTCGTCGTCGTCCGCCGTCGGCGTCTCGTCGTCGTCCCTCCTATTTCGTCGCCGTCGTCGTCGTCGTCGTCGTCGTCGTCGTCTTCCCTCCTCCCTCGTCGTTGTCGTCGTCGGCGTCGCCGTCCTTCCTCCTTCTTCGTCGTTCGCGTCGTCGCCGTCCTCCCTCCTCCCTCGTCGTTGTCGTCGTTGTCGTCGTTGTCGCCGTCGTCGTCCTCCGTCCTCCCTCGTCGTCGTCTTCGTTGGCGTCGTCGTTGTCGTCGGCGTCGTCGTTGTCTTCGTCGTCGTCGGCGTCGTCTTCGTCGGCGTCGTCGTCGTCGTCATTGTCGTCGTCGTCGGCGTCGTCGTCGTCGGTGTCGTCGTCGTCGTCGTTGTCGTCGTCGAAGTCGTTGGAGACGTCGTCGGTGTCGTCGTAGTCGGTGTCGGCGGCGCCGTCGTCGTCGTTGTCGCTGTCGTCGTTGGCGTCGGTGTCGTGGCCAAGTGCCATGTGGTACCAACCGTCACGGTCTTGTCTGAAGATGCCTTGTGACCAAATTGCGTGTGGGAGGGTGGGATGTTTGCACGAGCAGCGGAGAGGACAGCTTCAAGACGGTCAGAGTGGATTCTCCGTTCTACAAATAGAATAGACTCTACCCCCCCGGACTTATCGGTACCCCCTGGGATAGTACGATTTCATATTTATTCTGCACACCCGTCCATCCTAAATATGAAATCGTACCATCCCAGCCAAACCGGGTTCCCCCCCCTGAGGTTCCTTGGTAAAAAACAGTATGCGGTGACATGTTTTGTTCTAGCATAGCACTTTTTCGCGAACCCCTTGCAAAAAATCAGACGAAGTGCGCACGCGCGCGTCGTCGCGCGCGCATGCCGAAATCCTTCAAAAAACCTTCGGTGCGGGAAGGATTTCGCAATCGAGTTTCCAAAAAACATACAAACACACAGGGTTTCGCAACACAGAGTTGCTAAACAAGCTTCCGCGAAAGCTCTTGCGAAATCTTAAGAAAACCATTTTTTTTTTAAAAGAATATTCACAACATGTTGCCAAACGGGCTTCGCGCGCGCTCATGTCGAAATCAGTCGAACGCCCTTGCGCGTGTGCCGTCGCTAGAATCCCTTGCCAAAAAAAAGGGACGAATTGCAGACGCGCGCGTCGTCGCGCGCGTATGCCGAAAACCTTCAAAACCCATCGGTTTCGGAAGGATTTCAAAATCGTGTGCCCAACAAACCTACAAAACACAAGGTTTCGCAACACGGATGTTCAACAAAAGCGTGCGTGCGCGCTCTTGCGTCGTCGTCGTCGTCGTCGTCGTATTCCTCCTCCCGCGTCGTTGTCGTCGTCGTCGTCGCCTACGTCGTCCTCTGTCTTTCCTCGTGTTCGTCGTCGTCGTCGTCGTCCTCTTTGGCGTCGTGGTCGTTTCCGTCGGCGTTGTCGCCGTGGTCGTCCTCCCTCCTCCTCCCTCGTCGTCGTCGTCGTCCGTCGTCGGCGTCTCGTCGTCGTCCTTCCTATTTCGTCGTCGCCGTCGTCGTCGTTGTCGTCGTCGTCTTCCCTCCTCCCTCGTCGTTGCTGTCGTCTGCGTCGCCGTCCTTCCTCCTTCTTCGTCGTTCGCGTCGTCGCCGTCCTCCCTCCTCCCTCGTCGTTGTCGTCGTTGTCGCCGTCGTCGTCCTCCCTCCTTCCTCGTTGTCTTCGTTGGCGACGTCGGCGTCGGCGTCGTCGTCGGCGTCGGCGTCGGCGTCGTTGTCGTCTTCGTCGTCGTCGACGTCGGCGTCGTCGTCGTCGCCCTCGTCGTCGTCGTCGTCGTCGTCGTCGTCGGCGTCGTTGACGTCGTCGTCGTCGCCGGTGTCGTCGTTATCGTCGTCGTCGGCGTCGTCATCGTCGTCGTCGTTGTCATAGTAGTCGTCGTCGGAGTCGGTGTCGTCGTCGTCGTCGGTGTCGTCGTCGTCGTCGTTGTCGGCGTCGTCGAAGTCGTTGGAGACGTCGTCGGTGTCGTCGTAGTCGTTGTCGGCGGCGTCATCATCGTCGTTGTCGCTGTCGTCGTCGGCGTCGCTGTTGTTGCCAAGTGCCATGTGGTACCCACCGTCACGGTCTTCAGAGATTTTGCAAACCAAGTTGCGGGTGGGTGGGTGGGATGTTTGCGCGAGCAGTGGAGTGGACAACTCACTGCGCACAGAAATCAAGTTGCACCACGTAGATTCCACCGCATTGATTGCACCATTCAGACTGCACCGCGTAGATTGCAAGAAATCAGTTTTTGAGGTCCATGCTGTCTAACATATTCCCCAAACGGTCTGTAGTCGCCGTCGCCGCCCCGTCGCCGCCTCGTCGCCGCCCGTCGTCGGGGTTGGTGCGCCGCTCTCGCTGCTGTGTTGTTGCCATCGCCGCCCCGTCGCCTCCTCGTCGCCGCCCGTCGCAGGGGTCAGCGCGCCGCCCTGGCGGGCGCGTAGTTGCCGCCTCCGCCGCGTCGCCGCCTCGTCCCCGCCCGTCGCCTGGGTCGGCGCGCCGCTCCGGCAGCTACGCCGCCGCCGTCGAGGCCCCGTCGACGCCTCGCCGTCGCCCCGCAAGTAAATTCCCCCCCTCTCCCCCGGGATCGTCGCCCCCTTCGTCTATGACTCTTACGTGCGATTCCGCCCCATCGTCCATCCTAAATATGCATTCGCAACGTCCCAGGGGAGCTGGCATCGAACCCCCCCCCGCCATCCTCTGCAACAAGCATTATTCGCGCGCACTCATTGATCAAAAATCAGCATTGTTCAAAAGTCCCTTGCAAAAAGTGAAACGAAGTGCACGCGCGCGCGTCGTCGCGCGCGCGCCGAAATCCGTCAAAAACCTTCGGCCCCGTAGCGATTTCAATATCGGGTGTCCAAAACACATGCAAAAACATACCAAACACATGGTTTCGCAACATAAGCTTTCCAAAAAGCGTGCGCCCGCGCCCTTGCGAATTCTTGAGAAAACCATATGTTTTGTCATCAGTTTCATGGAACTTTGCCAAACGGGCATTTGGCGCCGCGCGCCGACATCATTCGCGCGCCCGCGCGCGCGCTGGGGGCGCACGATCCGCGTCAAAGAAAACCACGCGGCTAATCTCGCGCGTCGGCCGCGCGCGCGCGTGTCGAACCCCTTTTCCAAAACTTGCGCCACCGACGCGAGGACGCCGTCGTCGTCGTCGGCGCGATCAGCATCGGCGCCCGCACTGGCCGCGCCGTCGTCGTTGTCGACATCGCCAACATCAGCGCGCCGATCATCATCGCGGCTACCGTTGTCGACGTTGCCACGATACCGCGCCCGCCCAAGTCGCCGACTCGCAGTGAAGTGCCCGCTGGGATTCGCCCAGCGGCCAGCGCCACCGCGGCCGCATCGGTCACGCCAAACTAGCTGGCAGCGTCGCGCGCGTGCTTGGGTTGGCGCGGCCGCAGAGATGCACCAGCCAACGTCAAGCACTCATCGCAATCGACGCCTCACGGGGTTTTGCAAACCAAGTTGCGGGTGGGTGGATGGGGCGATTGCACGAGCAGTGATGGTGGTCAAGCGCGGCGCAGGGTAGTGAGTTCTTTTTTTCCTAAGAAGAGGACTCTACCCCCGATCTCACCCCCGGGTTGTTCGGTTCCCTCTTTCGTTTTGCAAGTTGCATGTGGTTCTGCCCCATCGTCCATCCTGGTTATGACTCCATACCATCCCCGCCAGCCCCGCATCGACCCCCCCCCCGTCATATGTTGCAGAATATTGTGCACGCGCACTCGCTTATCAAAAACCATCCATCAGTTTCAACCCCTTGCCAAAAGTAGGACGACGTGCACATGCGCGCGTCGTCGCGCGCTT